GTGCCATCGCCCCAGCCAGGCCCAGACCATTATTAAAGTGTCGAATTCTCTGCCAAATAATTTTAAGTAAATGAAAGCATTTGGGATTGCTTTCCTTACTTTGTTTGGATCATCTTAAGTTAATGTATGAGTTGTTTTTTTCTAAAGCAAAACCTCAATATTCAAGTTCAATTGCCGTGTTGGCACTTTGCGATCAATAAGTGGGTTTTGGGTCGCAGTTTGGGCACTCGGCCTCTAAAAGGTTCGCCATCACTGGCCTAGGTGCTCTTTGAAAGATCTTACGCCCTGCTCCTCAAAATAACATTCTCGATATCTGTGCTTGGTGGGTGAGAAGATGAAATAGGGAATGACTCTCAGTCCTCAGGATTGGATCTTGCCTCTTCTGAATCTGCAGAAGCGCAGAAACGCTGATCTGCCAGGCCCAGACTTAACAATTGTGGGTTTTGGGTTTTTTTTCAGATTTCATCCTGGGCATCATGATGGCCTTCAGATTTCATCCTGGACAGGAATCCACAGGAACTCTCTTCTCTGTTTTGTCCTGCTTCCAAGCTCAGGGCAGCAGGAGACCCCCTGCTCCGCCTTACCTTCAAAGGCAGAGCAAGCGACTTGCCCAAGCAGGGGTCCTAAGCAATGCTCCCTCTAAGCTGTGGAGTCTTGTGAGCAAAAATTCTACTTTGTGAGCTACTGGCATTAAAGTTGTGAGCGAGCGATTTGGCTGCTGCATAGATTAGTTTGCTCTGGAGCCCTCCTTCCTGAGCAAAGACAAAAATGCATGAGCCGGAGGCTAAAAAACTGTGAGCCGGCTCACACTAACTCAGCTTAGAGGGAACACTGGTCCTAAGTCTAACTGGCTCCCCTGCGAACCAGCTCCTTGGAAACCGCAGCCTCAGACTCATGGCACCCTTCTGAAGTGACAGGGAGGCCTAGCTTAAGACGTGGGCTTTCAACTCCGGTTCAGGAATGGATATCATTAACAGCAGACTATGAACAGTGAACCGAAAACTGCATGGGCGGGGAGAGGAGAGGGCAACTGAGGGAAATCCATACGGAAGACCAGCGGCTCGTAACACTGTGAGGTAATCTATTATGAAAACAACCCCGTTGTCTCTGGACTTCCTTAGGGCTTTCCAAAGTTTCCCTCGTTTGCACAGCTTCCCCAACACCACCCCTTTCGTTTGCCAGCCCTTGGTTGTCTGTCTGGTCGCTGCGCTTTTCTTCACCCGCATCCCGGTCAGCCTACCTTGTTCAAATATGCAAACCACCTATGGTAAGCGGACACCTGGTGAGCTGAGATACCAGCTGGGAGCATACGGTGTTCTCTTTTACCTGCCAACAGGTAAAAGTCACCTTCCAGGGAGTCGAAGGAGACGACTCTTACCCGCCCCGCGCCGGTCCCTGCTTGGCAATCATTAATCCCAGATTTTTCACATTCCTGAGCGCCGGAGTGATACGGGAAAATGACCAACGGTGGCGAGGGAAGCGGGGACCAGCCACCAGAAATGCAGCTGGCTGGGAGGCTGGCCCTTTCAGCGGCCGCTCTACTTTTGCTGACTTTGGCATACAAGTACTATCGGTCTCGGGTGTCTGCCGGCTCCGTGGGAGGTGACGGTGTCAGAACCGATGCTGGGAAGGCAGCTGGGCAAAGAGAGCAGCTGGCATGCGACGGGGCAGTGAGAGAGGCAGTGGGCCAGGAACTGAGGCACAGGAACGTCTTCAGCGAAGGGGCGAAGGCGAATGGCGGGCCAGCCGATCCAAACATGCCCCGTGGCCGACCTGCTGCCGTGGGAGAGTCCAGACTGCAATATGCACCTGTTGGCAGAGAGGTGAAGTTTCTGAATGGGAAAGAAGAGAAGGAGGAGGGAAAGCAGAGAGAGGAAATGAGTCATCTAGGAACCGGATCGCAACCAGACAAAAAGCAGTCCCCGCTGGAGACGGAGGCGGCGGTGGAAAAGGAAGAAGAAACTGCAGGTACGGTTTTGAGCTACGCAAGTCGGGCTGGGACAGCGGATGGGCTTGCAGCGACACGGCCAAGGGGGAGGCTGACTTCTCTAGGTCTGCTGAGTCAAGGTTGTTGTGGCATCGGCAGTTCTGACAGTGACCACAGGGGGCCTTGCCTGAAAGCCGATCTTTGCCCTGGTCCTCGTGACGAGCAAGCAGGGCGGGATCCTCCTCCTCCTCCTCCAAATGGGAACAGGTCCCCCATAGGAAAAGAGAAAGGGCCGGTGTTGGGAGACGACATGAGTCAGAATTCAGCCCAGGTGCCAGAGGTGCAGGTGGGACAAGAGAGAATCCAGTCCTTCCATGCAACTTCTGACATGGGCCTGGCTATCAATCAGTTCAGTGGGCGCTCCAGCACCGCCTACACCTTCTCCTCCGTAGCAAAAGTCCAAGTGGAGGAGAACTTCATTAAAGAGAGGCAGCTGAAAGAAAGCAGCTGCAGGGAACCGTCCTTATCGGGGAGCGGCCTGAGAGGCAAAGTCTACGACTACTACGTCCAGTCCGTCTCTCAGTCAGTGCTGGATGAAAGGCCCTCCCATAGAACTGGGGTCACACGAGCACTCGGCAGCCCACCTCCCAGTGACCCACCCCATGAGCCTGAGGCACGACTGTGTCAGGAAGCAGCCCAGAATCCGGCAGTGGAAGACGAGGAGACCAGAACCACCCTGAAGGAAGGTCCAGCCCCATCTTCTGTTGCTCTGTTCCCAGAGGATCATGCAAATGCCACACAACAGGTAGACCCGGAAGAGACCAATAAAGAAGCAAGTGGCTTCCAGCAGCCTCCAGGAACAGGACACGGCTTCAGTCGGAAAGAGAGTTTCCACCAGATTGCAGAAAACCCAGACCTTCAGGTGCAGATGGAGGGGTTTGGTGCTCGGGCCTCTGGGAAGTCGGGCTGTAGCGCTCCAGATATCAGTTCCATCCGCTCCCACTCAGTTTCTTCCCTGATTGGATCTATGCAGAGCCTCGAGGCCGACGCGACGGTGGAGCCCACCGTGAAGCTTCTGGCCGGCGCCAGGTTCTTCCACGTCCCGCTGGACTCGGACTCCTCCATAGACGTCCATCTGGATCTGGGGAACTGTTACGAGGTCTTGTGCATGGCCAAGAAGCAGAAGCTAGAGAGAGTCCAGGAAGCCGCTTATAAGGTCATGAGTGAGAATTACCTTCAAGTGCTCCGAACCCATGCGATATACGGGCGCCTCAATGCCCTGGAGAGGGACCTGATCCTGCAGAGGAGGATGCGGGGCAAGAAGTATGTGGTCGTTGCTGACATCAGCTCACAGGATCACAGCCACGGCGCAAGCAGACTCTGTTACTATGACGACCAGGGTGACACTTGGCACCCGCTAGCACATGTGCCCATGGAGGCCGTCTCCAGGGGTTGTGCAGTGTGCAACATGTTCAATTATCTCTTTGTGGTGGCTGGCTGCGAGGGGCGAGGAAAGAACCAGAAACCTTCCAACCGGGTCTTCTGCTACAACCCGCTGACAAACATCTGGCGAGAGATCTGTCCCCTGAATCAAGCCAGGCCTCACTGCAAGCTGGTCGCCTTGGACGGCTCCCTCTATGCCATTGGGGGAGAGTGCCTTTACACTGTTGAGCGCTACGACCCACGGATGGATCGCTGGACTTTTGCAGCCCCATTGCCTAATGACACCTTCGCCGTGGCCCATACCGCCACCGTGTGTGATGGGGAGATCTACGTCACGGGGGGTACGTTGCGGTACATGCTGCTGAGGTACATCAGCCGGTCGGATACCTGGAAGATCAGCCTGACCGGGGGGAGTAAGGACAGGACCACCGAGATGGTGACCATCAACGGCTTCATCTACCGGTTTGACCTGAACCGCAGCATGGGCATCAGCGTCTACCGCTGCAGCGCCAAGGCCAAGCTTTGGTATGAGTGTGCCACCCACCCCATGCCTTTCCCTGCTTGCTTTCAGTGTGCCGTTGTCGATAATCTGGTGTACTGCATCAGCCGGCAATTCAATATTCGCTTCCTTGCGGATTATGTCTCTCCGCGGTTCGGGACCAAGGAATTACAAAATTTCCCTTCCCCGAGAGGGACCCTTTTCCCCACAACGCTCGTGCTGCCCGACAGAGGGGCGGCACAGACAAGAGTCTGATGGCGACGGCAGAATCCGCCGGAGGGCCCTGAGGAGGCAAAGCCAGCTAATTCCACGGGTTCTGTGCTGACGGTCTCCTCCCGGTAGCTGATTTCCACGCATCTGTCAAGGGAGATGGAGCTACAAGCGGGTTGGCAGCGTCTGTTTATTTTAAGATACTTAAATCCTTGTAAATTTGCATGCAAATTAAACGCAGCCTTTGGGGTCTTGGACAGTCGCCAATACAGGCCTCGTTAGTGCAAACTTAGGCAAACTCTGCATAGGCCTGGATGGGACGATACTGCCGCATGTTGTCATGATCTGGAATGCTTTGGATGCGCAATGCACAGGTTTTTTAAAAAAAATCCCCCACCCTCCCGATCCTAGGTCTGAAATACAACTTCTGGGTCTGGTTATCAATCTATAGCAATTTGGGGAAGAAGAACACACACACCCTAAGATTCCAGATCAGGGTGACCCTTCTGTTTTGGACTCTGTCATGACATTTTTTAGTTCATTTTAGTGGAGGGGATATACACACGCAATGCTGTACAGAGCGCCTTTCCTTCCACCCGAATAACCAAACCCTGCTCAGTAGATCTGGAACTGTCCAGGTTGTGTTGGTCTTCTGAATTAGTGCATGTGTCTTTCTAACCTTCGTGAGCCCCCCTTTTCCCGGAATTACAACCTGCACTAGATGAAAAGGGAGATCTGTTTAAATGACTTGCCGTGCAATGACAGGCTTAATTAATTAATGCTTGTTAGACCAGAGATCCCCACAAAAAAGGCCTAGAAAACTCATTTATTAATGCTTTTGTTTTCATCATCAATAGTACAAGCTTGATGAAAGATTTGTAGGCAGAGATTGGGCTGCCTAATTGAAATCAATACATGGAGTTCAACTGTATCTCTTAGGGCTTTAGTGCCCCTTTCCGCCGAGCCCGTCTTCCACCCGCAAAGCCTGTTGTCCTGGTCTATTCTGCCTGCTTTCATCCTAACTACTGAGTGAGGTTTTTCCTAGGCCTTTCAGTTCTATGGAAACTGCGGTGTTTGAACATACTCTATTGCTGACGGCCCCTCTCCTGCTCCACCTGTAGGAAGTCTGTTTGCTTTTCCGTGATACCACCGCAGCTCAGCCAGGGGTGGTGGTGGGAACTGCAGGGTACAAGCAAGCTTTCTAATGTATTTATTTATTTTGCTGTCAGAGTCGCAGCCGGCTTATGGTGACCCCTGTAGGGTTTTCGAATTAAGAGATGTTCAGAGGTGGGTTGCCATTGCCTGCCTCTGCATAGCAACCCTGGGCTTCCTTAGTGGTCTCCCGTCCAAGTGTTAAGCAGGGCCGACCCTGTTTCACTTCCAAGATGTGGTGAGATCAGGCTAGTCTGGCCGTCCAGGTCAAGACAAGAGATGAACGGAGGTGGTTTGCCCTGTTTTGCCTCTGCGTAGCAACCCTCGACTTCCTTAGCAGTCTCCTGTCCAAATACTAGCCAGGGCCGACCCTGCTTGGCTTCTGAGGTCCAATGAGATCGGCCAGCCTGAACACTTCCCAGGTCAGGGCTTACGACCTGTTACTGGTATCCAGGGGTCATTTCGTAGAAAAAGAGGTGCAGGAGCTCATTAGCATAACTTATTAGCATAACTTATTTGCATATGCCACATCCCCTGACATCACTGGAAGTGCGTCAGAAGGCAACACCCACCACTCAGGCTCCACTGGACTATTTTGGATTGCTAGCTATTGGGGGATGGGGAACATGCAGATCTGTCCTCGCAGAGGAGGGAGAGCTTGTACCTGAATAAAACTTGGTCTTAAAGGTGCCACTGGACTGTTTTGGCTCTGCAACTTACCTGGCTGCTTCTTGCTCTGACTGAGGGTGGGGTGGGGCTTGTTGCATGTGCCCGCCCCCTGGGCTCTTTACTGCCGGAGCTCCACTCCTGCACGCTCCTGCAGGAAATGACCCCTGCTGGTATCTGATTCTTGGACATTTTTTAGAGTTTGCCTGTGAAAATAATAATAAAAAAATAACCATACAAAGAGCCCTCTTTTTTTCTTTCTTTAAACAAACAGCCTCTGCTGCGCCCTTTAATCTAAATTTTTGCCGCGTCCGCACACGCCCTTGTTTCCTCCATTACTGTAAGTGACTGAGATTGGATAATTAAGACACAGAACCTGCCATAATCATTAATGCGTTTTACATCCAAGGGTCTCGGAATGCATTTTCATCAAAGCACCACCAATTATTCATCCAGAGTTCCGATTCCAGCAGCTGCCATTCCCCCCACCCCCTTTTTGCCCTGCAGAGAAGTCCTGGATCCTCATAAAGAGTCTGTAATTGTGGGGCTTTTGATTGGCTGAATAAGAAGTGCGCTGCTGGATTGGAACCCAAAGCCCAGCTGTCTCAGCGCCCCACTTCCAACGATGGCCTGCCAGATGCCGCCAAAAAGAAGAAGAAGAAGAAGAGATTGGGTTTATCCCCCACCCTTCACTACCCAAAGGAGTCGCAGAGCAGCTCACAAACTCCTTTCCCTTCCCCTCCCCACAACAGACACCCTGTGAGGGAGGTGGGGGCTGAGAGAGCTCTTGACAGAAACTGCTCTTTTTTCAAGAACAGCTCTTATCAGAGCTATGGCTTGCCCAAGGTCATCCAGCCAGGTGCAAGTGGAGGAGAAGTGGGGAATCAAAGCTGGTTCTCCCAGATTACAGTCTGCGCACTTAACCACTACACCAGACTGGCCCTGGAGTGAGGCAAACCAACTGGGGACCTTCTGCATGCAAAGGGGGTTCTTGGCTCTGCACATATGCAAAAAGGCTTGCATGGAACTTCTCCACTGGTTCATCCAGCCCAGCAGCAGCAATTGCTCTCAGGTAGGGTCTTTCTCAGCCTGGCTACCTGGGACCCGTAATCAAGAGGGTTTGGGAGGGGCTGTGGCTTGGTGGAAGAACGTCTGCTTTGCATGCAAAAGGTCCGAGGTTCAATCCCCGACATCAGTTTGGTGTAGTGGTTAAGTGCGCTGACTCTAATCTGGGAGAACCAGGTTTGATTCCCCCACTCCTCCACTCGCAGCAGCTGCTGGATGACCTTGGGCAAGCCATAGTTCTGTAAGAGCTGTTCTTGAAAAAGAGCAGTTTCTGTCAAGAGCTCTCTCAGCCCCACCTCCCTCACAGGGTGTCTGTTGGGGGGAGGGGAAGGGAAAGGAATTTGTGAGCCGCTCTGAGACTCCTTCGGGTAGTGAAGGGCCATGGGGTAGAGATCCAATCTCCTCCTCCTCCTCCTCTTCTTCTTCTTCATCAGTTAAAAAAGGACTAGGCAGGAGGTGATGAGAAAGACCTCCACCTGAGACTCTGGAGAGCAGCTGCCTGTCCGAGTAGAAAATACTGACCTTGATGGAGCAACAGTCTGATTCAGTGGAAGGCAGCTTCATGTGTGTTCAAGAGATGTTTTCCTCACAGAGACTAAGGCTCAGAAGACTGGGCAATATTGTTGTGGTTTCCTAGGAACCTCCAGCAGCCACGGAGAGTTCACTGGCCATGCTTTTCTTAAAGTTGCAGGTGTTGTTGTTTCCCTTCATCTGGGGAGTTTTAATACCCTGCTGTTGGTTTGTTTGCTTTTTAGATCTCAGATCGGGGGGATTCCTCTACAAACCTGAAAGAAGACCCAGTTGTAGAGGAATCCTCTCGTTCTGTCCCTATCTCCCTTTTTGCAGTTCAGTCAGTCATATCCTCTATGGAAATAGATATATTGATAGAGAAAGAGATGAAATGGGGACTGTTCCCTCGTATGTATTTGTGTGAGAGGGTGTCCATGCACTCACACGAGGGTGCAAATGGACCCCAGGCAATGCTCCCTCTAAGCTGTGGAGTCTTGTGAGCAGAAATTCTACTTTGTGAGCCTCTGGCATTAAAGGGGTAAGCTTTGTGATTTGGCTGCTGTGTGAATTAGTTTGCTCTGGAGCCCTCCTTCCTGGGCTAAGACCAAAATGTGTGAGCTGGAGGCTAAAAAAACTGTGAGCCGGCTCACACTCACTCAGCTTAGAGGGAACACTGACCCCAGGAGGAGGCATTTGTGGTGCATTTTGTGGGGGAGGCCCCCCCAGTTCCTGTCCCACTATCCACCCAGGCAATTTTGCCTCATGCTGGTGGGAAAGGCGCGGACGGTGTGTTCTGCCGCAGGAGGCCATATTCCCGTCCGCACGGTCTTGCCAGCCTCCAGCTTCACACAATGGCTGGCGGAGTCCTGTCGCCTGTATCTCACGGCCCCAGAAATGTCTTCAAAGCCTGCCCAAACAAGTTTAAACAAGAATAAATTGTGAAATAATACAATAAATAGTGCCAAGCTAAGTGAGCTGCTCCCATTAAAATGTCAAGCCAATTACGCCGGGAGAATCACAACGTGGCTCCGGCTGCACAAAGCAAAGACGACGTCGCATTTGGGGAGAGGTTTCCACTTCGATAAGGCAAATAATTGTAATTCACAGGAGGCTCTTTGCTGTACAGACAGGCGGGAAGATGCGGGAGGGTCGTGTCTGTCTTCGCCTTTCGACGCTGCCTCCCCCGCCCTTTCTGTCGTTCACCAAAGCGGGTGGGATTCTTTGACCAGTTCTTTGGAAGCTCCTCCCCACACCCACAGCCCACCTGAGCATTACTATCACCCATTTCCTTTATTAGGGTATAGATAGGAACTCTCAGGCTGGGGCAAGTGATGCTCTGTATTCTTGGTGCTTGGGGGGGGGGGTCAACAGTGGGAGGGCTTCTGGTGTCCTGGCCCCACTGGTGTTGGACTAGATGGGCCACTGGCCTGATCCAGCATTGGCTTCTCTTATGTTCTTATTTAAAACCAGGGGTTTTTTTTTAAAAAAAGAGAAAGGAAAATGAGATCCTAACAGGATAATCTTAACCCATTACACCTTTCCAAGCCCTTTGCAGTCAACGGGCTTAGAAAAAGAGTATAAATGGACAAAAGGAAGTACTTCTTCACCCAAAGAGTGATCAACACATGGAATTCACTGCCACAGGAGGTGGT